TACTAAACTCATATGCAGAAAATTGATGCAGTAGAATCGGATCTCAAACCACGTTGACAGCGGTAGACAATTATGTATAGCGCAGTGCAGAAGCATCTGTCCACGTGATTACTCATAGATCAACCTACAGTGTACGTCGTAGCATACATCAACGCACTATCATCACTCACAACACTCGCGTGCATGCACAGGACACACACATCAGCACAACACAACACCAACCAGACTTACACTACAACACTCGCACCACAACACTCGCACCACAACACTCGCGTGCATGCACAGGGGCTGGGTGCAGAAGGTGGATGCGCAGGTGGAGCAGCGTCTGGCCGTGCGGCTGTCTGAGGCGTTGGCGTTGTGGATGGAGTCGTTCCAGGCCGTTGACGAGGACGATGAAGCGGGTACAGTGTAGTTGGTTGGAGGGACAGCGAGTTTCTGGGTCTGCTTTGTGGCTCTGTTTGGTCGTGTGCATGCATGCATGTATGTATATATGCGTGTGTGTATGCGTGTATGTATGCGTGTATGTATGCGTGTATGTATGCATGCGTGTATGTATGCATGTATGTATGCGTGTATGTATGCGTGTATGTGTTCGTGACTGTATGCGTGTATGTATGCATATATGTATGCGTGTATGTATGCGTGTATGTGTGTATGTATGTGTATGTATGTATGCGTGTATGTATGAGTATGTATGTATGCGTGTATGTATGTGCGTCTGTTGCTGTTCATGGTTGCTTGAAGGCTGAGTCATACAGAGTGGGGTGATATATCTTCTGAATCGTAAGATATACTTGTATATCGTTTAGTACAATTCCATGTGCACTAGTTAGACCGTAAGCTTGAGCGTACTGTCTGTCCCATCTGCTCATGGGGAGACACCTGTCCTTGTGTCAGTCAGTAGTCAAATAGCCATGAGACTGTCATGCGGATGTAAGTGGTGGGTAGTGGGGCATGCTGTGGTTAGTTTGGACTACAACCACAAGTGGGATACATACGAACAACCACTCGTGGAATACATTCTAACAACCACACATGGCATGGGCTCGAAACAACAGGTGACTTCTAGACACCCAGCCTATCACAATCACGACTTGTGTTGCATTCGGCTGAGATGATCTCAAGCCACAACTGTCTGATTTGTATTTTTATGTTGACAGCTGATATGCAAGGCACTCTAACCACCAATGCCACGGCGGACGCAAAGGGTCTGCCAGTGCTGGTATGTGATTTGTTAAGATTGCTACAACCCCTGGTGCTAAATATGGTACAACCACACACACACACACACACATACACACACACACACACACA